TAGAACGTGATGGTAGTCTTCTAGAAGGTGTTGCACAACATTATTTCAAACAACTTATTACTGGAATGGTAGAAATTGATTTAAAAAGAAACAAGAATTTCTTAGACTTTTTTTTTTAGGCTTATCTTCATAGTCTTGGTGTAGCACATCGAGGTTTGAGAATAATTTTGATTAGATTTATTAATTTTTTTTTATTAGATCTTAAACCAGAAAATCTTCTCATCGCAAATAATGGTAAAATAATAACTAATAAAAAAAAATTTCTTATTTTCTATATTTAGATATTCTTAAAATCTGTGATTTTGGTTTGTCAGCATTTTTTCGTGACCGAACAACAAATGAGAAACAAATGTTGACGACTTATTGTGGTACAAAACCGTACATATCACCCGAGGTACATTGATTATAATGAAGATGAATAGAATGTAATAAAAATTTCTTTTAGATGTTATCAAAAACCCCTTATCATGGTGAACCTGTTGATATTTGGTCCTGCGGTATAATATTAACAGCCATGTTAACTGGAGGTAAATTTACTATGAAATCTTTTTTTTTTATTTTGTTTTTTTTTAGTATTCCCATGGGCTGAAGCATCTGATCAAATTCCTGAATATAAACGTTGGTTGGATGGTGATTATAATAATAGTCCATGGGAAAATATTGATAGTATAATATTCAATCTTCTTCGTGTAATATTAATTGATAATCCAACTCGACGTGCTAAAATAGTCGATATACAAAATCATCAATGGTTGTCAAAAATTTATCCAAAAGGTAATATTATATTATTTAGTTTGTTTATTTGTTTTTGAATTTAAGTTTTTTTTCTTTATCTAGTGGCAAAATTACCATTGAATGTTTCAACAATATCAAATAAACGATCAATAGATAATGATGAGAGTATAGAAAATAATAAGAAAAAACATAACATATCAAAATCTACTTCAATAGAGAAAAGCACAAGTAAGTACTAGTGACTGATATTACTAACGAGGAGATCACTCCGATTATCCCCTTTCGATTTCAATGTTTTTTTTTGCCTATAGATAATACTGCATAGTGTTCTACTAAAAACTTGGTTCTTATTGACATTTGACTAAGCTATTGAATTTTTAATATGTGTATTTTCTAGACCCCAGGTTAGAGCATATCAGGCTGCAGGGTATGACAGTTTTTTTGCGCTATTGGACTTGTCAGTCAACAAAAAAAGGCTCTGTAATCTGGCATGTCTCTTCGAATAAAAAAAAAGTAAAATACATACAATGAAAGTCCATAATTTCTAAATTACCTATTTTCAACACTAGCTTAATGAATATCTCACGAAAACATCGTGTTATCAAGCTGAACATTTCATGCGATTTGAATGTTCCTGACCGAAAATCGATTCTGAAAGGAGGAAGCCTTACATAATATATTTTCTTTTCCAGTGCGTACTGTGACAACAGTTGTTGGAAAAGTTCCTGTTGATTCTGAATGTGTATCAATGTTAGGAAATGCTCATGTTTATTGTGAAAATAATGATGTATTTGATTGTATGCTTAATCAAGTAGGAAACTTGAGTCATAATTTCATATTAAACTGTTTTGTTGTGTTTTGTTTTTAGACAAATGTTGGAAATAATAATAAAAATTTTTATTTAATTCAATTACTTGAAGAAAATAATTGTAAAACATATTATGTTTGGTTACGTTGGTAAGAATTTTCATTTTAAATTATTTTATTTATTTATTTATTTATTTGTCTTTTTTAAAAGGGGACGAGTTGGATGTAATGGACAAAATAATTTAGAACATTTTGGTTGTGATTTAGATGAAGCAAAAAGATTTTTTTGTCAAAAGTATGCAATTTCGAATTTTAATTCGTTTCAATATAATAGATTAGAACAGACTAAATCGAATTCATTTGTAATCAGTTTAATATCAAATGAGATTTTACGATTTGTTATCAAATGTGAAAATATGATATGTCTAATAACATATAACGAGTGGACCATAATGAAACGGACTAGTTGTAAATGCACTTTTTCAATCACTTACTATTCATATAAAATATTCATTTCTATATCAAAAGATGGAGAATTCAAGTTCTAAAAAAGTACGTATTGCACTTTTACAAAGAACTTTTTTTTTAATTTTAAAGCAACCAACACACTTAGGTACATTGCATATCCTAGAGTCCTGCGGGATAAACTTTTTTCGAGTATCGAATTCCATTTGCCTTGTACGGAAAATTTTCGAGATTGTCCTACAGGGCTCTAGTATATCCCTACTGCGGAATTAAAAACAAACGAAAAAAACATGTGACACCGCTACTGAGAAATTTACTAGATTTCTAAAGAAACGAAAATATTCTAATTATCTATAGTTCATAAATTAATTTATAAATAAAATATTACATTCGTTATTTGAAAGATAATTAATTTTAATTAAAAATTTGATTTTTAATATAGAAACTAATTTTCTTTATATATATATACGTTAGATTTAGTGATAAAACAAAAAATGATTTTTATTATCGTCATACGTTTACAAAATATCCTGGAAAATATGATTATGTTCAACTTGATTATAATCCATCAGTAAGATTATTAAACTTATAAGGAAACATATTCAACTGTCGAATGCCGCTCGAGTCCATGCGTTACTCAGCCAGAGTTATAATTATTTTAGAGTAGGTTTTCGGCTTCTTGGCCCGCTATCCATGGAAAGCTTAATTATGAGATTTTCATCTGAAATTTTGTCCATAAATAGTTCTCACGGTCATTAGAATATTCTAAAAATTTCAGCTCAAGTGAATATATTTTTCTTGAGATATCGAGTACCTAAGACAACTCGATTCTATATCTTGTCTTGTGATATTTTAATTATTAGTTGGAGGCTCGATATCTCAAGAAAAATGCATTCGTGTGAGCTGAAATTTTAAGGGCATTCTAGCGACTGTGAAACCTATATATGGGCAAAATTTCAGATGAAAACTTCATAAGTAGTTTCTCCATGAATAACTGGTTCGGAGGCCGAAAGTCTACCAAAGTGGTCATAGCTCTAGCGTGGTAATGCATGAGCTCGACCATTTTAGAGCTTTCTTAGTTTCTCTGACCAAGAAGCATATTTGAGTATACCCTTGAAAATGAGTTCAAAGCATTCTATTTATTACGGACCTCAATGAATATCTCGAATATGAATAGCCTAGCTGCCCCCATTTCGATCTCGAAAAACGAGTGTCTAACTTTTTCATTTTTCGGCTCTTTCTTACTAGTAGACGTATCATATGATTTTTCGCTTTTGTCAAATTTCCAAGAACAAACAGTTTTCTTTGGCGACAACAACTTGATATGAGCATAAATCGATACGCACAAGCCGTCTTGTTATCACAAGTGAAGATATCACATCTATGTTTCTCAACCAAATGCTTATCTAATCTATCGCTTATCGTTTTCGGTAACATAAGGACGCAGTAGATAGAGAGTTAAGTTGAAAAAATAGATCGCTGCTTGTTCTTAAAAGTTTGACAAAAATGAAAAATAAGATGACATGTCTACTAGTAAGAAGGAGCCGCAAAATAAAAACGTTAGACAGTATCATTTTTCGAGGCCAAACTGTGGTAGCTACTCAAATATATTCTCGTGAATTCTACTCAAAGCCAAAATATGAGGTTGAACGGCATCCGACAATTGGATATTTCTGCCTTGTTGATTTAAGTTTCTCATAAGTATTATTTTTATTATCGATATAGACATCCGAAAAAGTTGATGAAAACAATAAAAAACGACTCGTAGCTATTGAACAATTAAAAAGCCTACCTGCACCAGAATCAAAACTTGATAAACGTATACAAAAACTTATTCAATTAATATGTAATATACAAGCTATGGAAGAAGCATTACTTGAAATGAAATTTGATGCAAGAAAAAATTCTCTTGGTAACAAAAAAAACGCGAAAAAGCTTTTTTCTTATCGATTTTATTATTATTTTTTCTTAGGTAAATTAAGTTCAACACAAATTAAAGCAGGTTATGCAGCATTAAAAGAAATTGAAACATATATAAAAACAAAACAATTTAATTCTGCATTTATTGAAGCAAATAATACTTATTATACTCGAAGTATATCTATTAGATACTTGTTAAAAAATTAATTTTCTTTTTTTTTCCTTTACTTTTTTTCATTTAGTTCCACATGAATTTGGTCGAAATACTCCACCATTAATAGAAACTATTCAACAATTAAAACATGAAATTGAATTACTTGAAACACTTGATAATATTGAAATAGCATTTACAACATTAAATACAGATACAACTATATGTTTGAATCCAATTGATCAACATTATGAACAATTAAAATGTAAATTATATCCTATTGAATAACATGAAGATATTTATATATTAATTGATAAATATCTTCAGTCAACATATGCATCAACACATCAACAATATAAAATGGAAATAGAACATATATTTAAAGTTGAAAGAGATAATGAAAATCAAGTATTTAAAGATGTTGGAAATAAAATGCTTCTTTGGTATAGACAAAACTTCGTTTTTTTTCTAAATATTAAATAATATATTATATCTATATATATATTAGGCATGGTTCACGTTTGACTAATTTTGCAGGTATTATGAGTCAAGGTTTACGTATTGCACCACCTGAAGCACCTGTAGTAAGTAAAATTAATTTATATATAAATAAATTATTAAATAAAATACCAATAATTAACTATTTAATAGCTCTTCATAAATGTTTACAATTTTTCTATAACGTGTAAATGTTAAATTATTGATTATTATAGAGTGTAATAAGTATGTATAGAAATAAGAATTTTTTGTGAGAACTCATAAGAGAAATTTGGACCTGGTACGAAATTCGAATCTCATTATGTTGCAAGATAGTCAATCAGTCATGACGTTCCTTGATGATTCAGTTATGCATTTAATTAATGACAGTAAAAACTTATCTAAATATTCCTTCTCTTTTATAATTTAAAAATTATCGCCTTACGAGACTATTGATGGTTTTTAGAATAAGTAGAGGTTAACATTTGATAGACAAGTCTCTAAAGACTTGACATAAAAAGTAAGGGATGGATTCTAGGCTATTTATTTCAAAAAGAAACAATATTTGCTTCCGTGTCAAATGTACAGAAACTTCGCTCGTACTAAAAGAAATATCTATGCTTCATGGGTTTCTATTTTTGTATTTATTCAAGCTAGAAATGTTTCTATAGAATGACGAACATTTTCAACGAAACTATGTCACTTTTGAGAAAAAGCATTGTCTATAAATGCTCTATTTTTCTTGAATATCATGAGAATTGATATCATTTTAAAAAATGATATTATGACTAGATACTTGAAAAGATAGCTTTTTTTTCGGATTGAAATCAAATCTTGTACTTTGAGAATCGTGCTAAAATCGTTAGGCTTCATTTTTTTTTTAATTTGAAATCATTCTGATGGAAAATCTTAACGAAATATTTATAAATAAAAAATAGCTATGGAGTATATTAACAGATTGATAGTTCCAATCAAAGAACATAAATTAAGTATAAAAGATTAATTAAACATCATTGATTATTTTCTTTCTAATGTTTTTTCGTATTATATATATGAATCTATTAGAAAATAAGTTTTTTTTTTAAATAATTTAGACTGGTTATATGTTTGGAAAAGGTTTATATTTTGCTGATATGAGTAGTAAAAGTGCTAATTATTGCTATCCAACACCAAGTAATAATACTGGTCTTGTTCTCCTTACTGAAGTAAGTTTCGTTGTTTGCTTTTTTTTTTGTTCGAACAACATTATTTTGATTATTCAAATTAGGTTGCACTTGGTAAATGTCATGAATTATTTCATGCTGATAATAATGGTCATCGATTATCAGAAGGTTTATCAAGTGTTAAAGGTCTTGGCTCAATAGCACCGAATTTAAAAAATGCAGTTACATTGTAAGTTTAATTCTGTTGTTCTCATTTTTATATAAAAAATAAACATGTGAATTTTGTTTGTTTTTTCAAAATAGAGATGATGGTGTTGTTGTTCCTATGGGTCCTGCTGAATCAACTAATGTAGTTAATCCAAAAGGTTATACACTTAATTATAATGAATATATTGTTTATGATACAAAACAAGTTCGAATACGATATTTAATCAAATTAAACTTTTTGTTTTAATAGAAGTTATAGAACTGTTTAAAAAAAAACAAATATTAAAAATTGATAATCTGTTTTTGTTAGATAGACTTATACATGTATGTTAATCTCTATACTTAATATTTTTTTTTTGTGAATAAAAAGTGATAAAAGAAAAAAAAACATCATTCTGTCTGCAAATAGAAAGATTATATTTTTATTAAGAAAAAAAAAACAACTAATAATGGAAGGGGTATACAAGAACGTTGAGCATATTCGAATGGTCTTACCGGCAAAATAAAGAATTTTAAGGTATTTACAATGTATGTAATGCACCAAGAATTCGAAATTTCGGTAGAATTTATTTTTCTCTTTTTGTCGTGGCCTGAAAGAGCTTTTCGAGTTACATAAGAAAAAAAGAAATTTTATGAGAGCCAGTATTTGCCGAGTCTAAAGGGTATCTCATAAGTTCTTGGTCATAATGAAAATTTGTCTATATGTAAACAAGGAGTGATCTCTGCTCAACTATATCTATATGAGCTTCGAGTACTTAGGACGATGTTTTAAATGGCATATTAACCGATGACATTATCTCTTTTAATAATAGAAAATGATAATTAAAATCTCGAAATTGACCTATACTATTTTAAGAAGTTTTAATCAACTATAAATTCATCGTATGTAACGTAACACAATTATACAAAAAGATACATTTAAAACATCGTGTTAAGTACTCGACGCTCATATAGATATAGTTGAGTAGGGATCCCTCTTTGTTTACATATAAGCTTATTTTCGTTGAGGTCTAGAACTTACAGGACACCTTCTATTTATCCTCTATATTTGAAAATAAGGATCTCGTGAACTTTTCTTTTACAATGTTTTCTTTTTGTATTTGAAACATACATTTTCTTATGAAATTTGACGAACTCTATCCAACTATGACAAAAAGAGAACAATAAATCCTGTTGAAAGGTGAATATAAATGTCACGAAGATTTTTAACATCAGAACGAGATCTATGTACGTTAGTAGAGGAAGACGGTTCTTCCCCAGATCGGCGAAACCATATATACACTAATTAGTCTAACTGGCAAAGCATGTAAACGAGTGTGGGTGCTGCGGTGTCGCTGATCTGGAGAAGTACCTACGAAATAAAACTTGATAACACATGCATCATTAGATAGACGAAGTCTTTCTCTACTATCCTATTAAAATCCCGTTTGTGGGTCAAAACTTCATAATCGCCTTTTGAATTGTTGGCACATGGCGTACACTATAAATATCATAAAACTCGAATATTTCAGACCGTACATATCATAAGCAGCTTATATTTTAAATTTGTTAGCTTGCCGATGAGACGATCTGAAAAGGTTCAATGTCCTTGTACACACCGTTCCATCGTAAGATAAACTAATTATTATTAGTCAATATTGAAGTTCAATGAATCAAATCCATTTCAGAAAAAAAGTATTTTATCATTATTATACTGTTCATTAGTTAATTTGAAATTAGTACGTGTACTTTGAGTTGTTAATGATCGTAATTGTATATCAATACTTTTTCGTAATTTTGATATAGATGTTCGGAATGTACTACTTTTTCTTCCTTTATTATTTGATATCATTGATATTGATGATCTGTTTGGTGATATACTATTACGTGGTTGAGAAGTATTTGATTCATTAATGCTTATCATTTGAATTGTATATGATATATCATCTTCACCTGGAACCTTAAAACATTACAGAATACAAATACAAAATAATACAGAGTGTCTAAAAAACCTAGCCGAAAAAGAAACATAGCAGTTCATTCTCTATTACAGTTTGATCTTACATACGTATATTCATCAAAGTATATTTCAGATAAAATGTCTGCTGATATCGAAGTCAGAATAAAATAGTTTTACTCATTATCAAATTCCAATACGGCACCATTGCAAAACGAAAACTATAAATTGCATTTGGGAACAAAAAAACACGCCGATTGAACATTGCATTAATACCACATTCCAAAGATTTTGTGGAACCAGCATTGTCAAAAATTGATGACGTTCTGAAAGACTTTATCTAATTACTGAAGAAAAAGTCGATGAAGTTAACAACGCTTGTAAAATCGCCTACGAATAAATTAGGTTGAACACTACAGATGTTTTTGACTGATGATTTTTATTCTTTGATATTCATTGTAAAAACTGATGTATTTTGGAGGTTCGATTCACGTCTTCTCAGAGCTTTACAAAGATGGCAAAAGGTCAAAGTCAATCTTTACCCTGACTTCTCATGGGCGTATGCCTTGTAGAGGTACCAATCGAATTTCAAAAGCATACCAGTTTGTATCGTGAATAACAAAGAATAAATTTTATTATTAGAAAACTTCTCGTGTTAAACCTGATTTATTAGTGAGACATTTAGTTGACTCCTATGCACGTCTCTAGACCTGATCGGGGATGTGATATAACCTGATTCATGGAAAAGTTTTGCTTTTTCTCAGCGGAGCGAAAAATTTGTCTTGTGTTCTCTTAGAAAAAAATATTTACATTTTTCTGGAAAAATTGCGACCTCCTCTTCCGCATATTTTTGCTGCTCCAGACCATTCCTGGGTAAAATCAACTGATCGGTCAATTGCACAAGTCTGTTCAATATCGCGCACAGTGATCCATCGATTTATCACGAAATATCTCTCATTAAAGCTGTACAAGGTACACTTTGTTCAACAGTTCGATGAAGAAGAATCATATAGACCGAACACTTAATCCTGGCTAATTTTTACAAGCGTCATGAACTTCATCGATTTTCGACAGTATTCGTTTCTAGAGTCCGTCGGGTCTAAGTCCGAAAATTTTGAATCCGATGGGCTCTACTTGTTTTACAAAATTGTTGGAATGTGATGTTAATGTAACGCTCAGTTGATGGTGTTTTTTCCATATTCAATTTATAGTTTTATAATGATGGCTTATTCGAATTTGATCATGAGTAAAACTATTCGAACTCTGACTTTTATAGATGCAGATATATTTTATCTGCAATATACTTTAATAAATATAAGATTAAACTGTGAAAAGAAATGTAAATCATCTGAACTGCTATATTTCTTTTTGCAATTAGATTTTTATGACATCCTGTATAAGAAATATTTACTTTATATTAAATATATGGTTGTTGTGGATGTTTATCAATTGTTGTAATCAATGTTTGTTGTCGATCTATTTGATATGAACCACATCATTGATTATTATCATTAATATTATCTGTGATTTGATTTAAACTAATTTTTGGTTTAATTTGTAGATTATCATTAGTAATTGAATGTCTATTTGATATAATTTTATTTTGTTTATTATTAACAAAATCGACATAATAAATTAGATCACTAAGAAATGTATCAATCTATAGAATTTTTGTGTTTTGTTTTTGTCGTATTTATAATAAATAAATTTTAAATATTGACCTACTTATTTTAATTTAATAAATAAACATTGATTATCATTCATTTGTGAATATTTATCAAGATTTAAATCTTTTTTTCTACAACGATGACTATATCTTTTTACTAAATCAAACATTGATTCAATAGCACTAAAATATTAATATTTCGAAGTATAAAAAAAAAATCTATTTTATATCGATTCTCTTACATTTTAATTGTACCGATTTCTGTTAAATGTTCTATTGATATTTGTTGATAATTATTAATTTTAGTTTGAATTTTATCAATATGTTGTTCAATTTCAATAAGATTTTGTTGTAATTCTCGTATACGATTATTCATTGAAGATATTTTATTATTTTTTTCTAGAATTTCAATTGAATTTTAATGAAATTATTTCGAAATATTTTACTTCAATTGTTAATAATAATTGTCGTTGTACATCATTTAATTCTTCATTAGAATTTTTAATAGTCATAAGAACATTCTCAATATAGAGAATCGATGAAAAGAAAACAATTTCGAAAAAAAATCCATTTCTACTTGATAACTAGCATAAAGCATATCAAATTTTTCAATTATTTCATCAATTGATTGAAATCGATCAGTTTGATCAACAGTCTAGAAAACAATATTGTATATATTGAAAAAAAAATATTCTAAAGAGAAAAAACCGAGGACCCTGTCGGATGAGATAATCACCCTTCATTTGAAAAGTCACCGATACCATTTTGTAGAACAACTCGTGGCGCATCAAATGGTATATACGAAATTGCTTTTTCATTAAATTTTTATGTTCTGAGAAGCCATACATCACTTAAGAGATATTATAGCAATTGTAGTTGATGTGACCAAATATGAGGAGTCAGCATGTCTTCAAACCAACCTATATCAGATTTTGTTTAAAGTTACTTCAATAGAGTTTTATCTCATCTTTAATCGTGTATATTTAATAATACTTACAATAGCTTGCTTCTTATCCAAAACCTTAGCATTTTCCCTGGCTTCTGTAATTTATGGTTTTTATGATGTTTTAAATTGTTCGATACTGATTCTGAGGGTAAAGGCGACTAACCGTGTAACTTTCTCGGAAGTTGTGTCACCAATTTCTATAGTTAAATCAATTGATTTTCCTCTGAACTGTTGTGCGTCATGATCACATCGGTCAATCTATGCCTAAAAAAACCAATTTGTCAATTCCTATGAACAGAAAAATATATGAGCTTTTCGATAAATACTTTTTGAGTAAAAAAGTTTCTATCTATAAATAATAATTTCATTATGTCGTATCATTTGACATATATGGATCTTCCGAAAATGACAAAAAAGTTTTTCGCTGTCAGAATCTTGGAGGGAGGTACGAGAATGGAAGATTGATTTTTATTTTATATTGCTCCCTAAGAATTTAGGTTCTGAGTAACCGGGTGTGATTAGTGTATGGAGTTCTATTAAGTTCAATATATGTTCGGTCTCTTATGAGAATTAAAAATTTTGTATATTCCCGTATCACTCTTCAGAGTTCCGAAAGCGAAAAATTCTTTTTGCCATTGTCGAAAGACCCATATATGCCCAGTGATAGGGCATGATTAACTTACTATTAATACATAGAAACTTTTTCACTCAAAAAATATTTCTCACAAAACTCATGTACTTCTCTGTTCTAAAGAATCAACAAATTTGCCGTTTTTAGGCATTGATTGACCGATTTGATCATGACATACAATAATTCAGAGGATAATAAATTAATTTACTTATAGAGCTTGGTGGCACAAAATTCCTGAGAAAGTTGCACGGTTAGTCGCCTTGAGGGTGTGGGTGTGGTTGTTGTTCCGTTCTTCCATAACACTCACATCCATACCCACACCCAAAATTCTTTTAATCCTCAGCAATATACTATTAAAACAGAAAAATGACAAACTATTTTCTATAAATACTTCAGCTCAACTGAAAAAAATTTAACAAAACTCAACAGCGTCTTATACTGATAAATTCACATTTGCGTCATATCAGAAGAAAAGGTACCAATATGTTAGGTACAACATATTTTTTTTGAAATTCAATAATTCATAACACTAGGTGAGCTATTATCGAATAATATTTTAAACTAAGACAATTGAAACGATTATTCTATATCACCAATTTTTAATTCATTTTCTAGTCGGAAAAAGTAGAAACGATATATTTAAAATATTGTTAATCCCATCTAAAACATGGCAAATCAACAAATATAATCAAAATTATGATAAATAAGAGTTAAATTACATCTTTCCTAAAAGTGATATTGTGAACATATGTTGATATGAAGAATCTTTTTATATTGTGTTAAGTTGATTTATATTGTACTAAGTGAAGGCATGGATGGTGACGTCATTATCTTTAATAGATATCTATTGTATGGTGTTTTTGACTATTTTTTTTCTCTCTATACATTGAATTGAAAGATGAGAATATTCTGAGAGAGCAAAAAGTTTTTTTTCACAGTCTGTCGTATTCATCGGATAAAGATCTTCTTTTTTTTATTTGAAAAACAAAAAAAAACTAGATGGTATTCGAGCTTCGCTTCGAATACGAAATGCGGTGCGAAGCACACGCATCGAGAATTCGAGAAACGAATTTCGAATCGAAATCGAATAAACCGTCTCAATATTGTAGGAAT